GATGATGAAAAGCAAAGGCACAAGCTGTTCACAGATGAAACACCAGACAATTTACCAAAGACTGAAGATCGGATCTCACACAGCACAGAAAGCGATGTAGGAATGCATTATAGCAAATGGACTGAGAGAAAGGATATATAGAATGTATAGCAGTCATACACTAAAAATGGGAAGGTAAGTAACAATCCTCATCTGAAAGGAATGATCACAGTTTGCTTAATAAAAAAAGCACCCACATCTTGTTAACATCTTCAGGAACCAAGAGTCCCTGCCTTCTCCTTTCCAGGAAGAGCGATCAACTTGTTCTGACCAGTTTATGACCAAAGGGAAATGACAGAAATAGCCACCTACCCCTACAGCTCATTTTCTACAGAACTGAAAAAAGGAAAGGTACTATTCATTTTTCTGTTATGGCAACATAAATGAGAAATTATTCCACTAAAGTCAATAAAGTCTCATCAGCATATCACTTACAAGAGAAGAATCTGATATTCAGACTTTATAAAGTCAGGAAGGGGCTTTTTTTTTTTTTTTTTTTTAAGTTATTGTGCATCACTAACTCACTAAAGATACACATTAGCCAAATGCAACATTGCTGGGAAAGTACTTAAAGATCACAATTTAGCAGGGATAATTTTTTAATATATGTCAGGTGTTTACCATATTTACTCATAAATTGAAAATTACTTTTGTGATTATCCAGTAAACTTAAAAAAAAGTTCATCAGTTCTGTTTTAAGGAAAAGTCCTTGGTTATTTTTCTTATACATTGCCTCAAGGACTATACCCCACATGTGCTTTCTGAACACCACTACGAAGCTTAATAAGCCCACCTGAAAAAGCTGGTGAGGAAGTCCTTGAGATAAGCTATAAACCAGATATGAACAAATACCCAAATACTGTTTACCATTGCTGTTTTTGAGTATTGTCAGAGCATTTTCCAACAGAAACTAATGAATTTTCAAATACTCTGAGATGTCATAAAGCATTTCTTGATTGTTGAGTTTCACTTCTTTCCAAAAATTCTTGGAGAGAGACTACAGTTAACACCACCACAGGTGACAGCTCAGAGACAAATACTATTAGCAGAAACAGTGATGATGCAATGTCCCATGATTTAGCTACACGTTTCTTATAAAATACCCTGCCACTGACTGTGTTCACTGATCATGAGTGTGACATCCAAAGGACTTTGTTAGGTTTGAAATGTGTATATGAAACCAGGAAGAAAATAATTAAAATAATTTAAGTTATTTTTCTTCAAAACAAGGCTCTAATGTTAAATAAAAGCAATGGTACATATAAAGTTATCGGTGGTCCTTCCCTTAGTAGGTGCAACCAATAATAACATGAGTCATGCAGTCTTTGCTACTCATTCAGTGTTTTCATTATTTATTATTTTTCCTTAAAACATGTGTTGTAGAGAAAGTCCAATGATCCTCTTTGCATCCACAAAGTAGAACAGCATAAACAATCTAGTATGGAATTTGACAGTACTATTTTATAAGTTGGACCATTAAGGACAGGATCAACTGCAATCACAGATGAGATTTGGAGGATTATTTTATGGTTTAATAAAGGAAATTACACTTCTTTTTTCCTCTCCATAGTTAATACCTAAGGTGTGGGGAGGTAAAAATCACTGAGAATTACAATGATAACTGGTTAAAATAGTTTACAAAAAGAACATTGAAAACTTTTAAAAACCAAAATAGCTTGGCCAAATTCTTACTCCTCTTATCACTTCAATTTTATGCACGCTACTGTTAAAATACAAATGGTACCCAAAATTTAACTGCTACTGACTGTTTGCTCTTACTGCAATTATTTGCAGTTTCTCAGCCTATGCATTCACATGAAGTTTTCACATAATAAAACCAGTTATTTCAGTATTAAATTGGTAGCTCCACCTAGTGTTGTTCATGACCTATTCCAACAGGAGCTGAAAAGCACAGAGCTAGTCATAACACATAGCTGTACACCATTTCTGCTTGCTGCTTGGAAAAGCAGTTCCTCATACACCTCGCATACAGAATTGACACCCACCCGCCCCCCCGAGCTTCGTTTTCACCAGCACTGACTACGAATAGCTCTCATGGCCTTACACTTATAGAACATGCCAAAATCTTTTTTTGTTTTTTTTTGTTTTATTTTTGAACCAAGAAAATACTGCTTTTAGAATCTCAGGGAAGCAAAAACAGGTGCTGGAAGTCTTCTGGCAACTTAGGCACACATTTTGATACCAATGATTGTATAGTATGGCTATTACTGTGAAAGACCCTTTCAGGCATAGAAGTTGTTTCTCAGAAAGACTGTTCCTCCAATGTGGACCGAGCTTAAGGAATAGCAGTTAGCTCATCTGTTCCTATTGTCTTCTCCTGGGGGATGGATATCTGTCTCGATAACGCTCCTATTTGGTATCTGTAAAGCCTTTTGGAGAAAGGTATTAAATTGACTTGGGACTCAGTGTCTTCAATCCAAGATGATTTTAGACTGTATTTTCTCTACCTTAATTACAGCAACAGCTTAGCTTTAGTCAGGGTTGTGGCAGAATTGGAATGCAGACAGGCCTGGCTCACCCCATGCAATACTGCAGTTATGTTGAGGGACTGGAGAAATACAACACAGGAAATTGTGAAATTTCAGAAGATCCTTTAAAAGGGGAAGCTTACCTACACTATTCCATTTGGATATATACACACACACACACTCCCCTCCCCACTCCCCAAACCAAACCCCAAACCAAAACAACCAAGTGAGTTGTGTGATTCTCAGATGAGTGTGAAAAAAAGACATATAGTTGTTTTAAGTGATACTCCACACGCTTCCACCCAAGAAAGGCATTGCCACAATGATCCACCTTTGTCACCTCAAGAACAACTTGCTGACATTCTCTTTAAAGTGGAAACTTCACTTGGGAGAAATTTATTGGCATCTTTATAAAAAGTGCATCCCAGTTCTTTAATGCATCCCAAGTGGGATGCATTCTGTATTGCACACACTGTACATTCTTCCAATTTTACATCTGGTTGAAATTTTAAAAGTTTTGGGTTTGAACCACAAATCTCAAAATAAAATGGTGTCCCAGAACCCTGGAGAACACCTCTTTCCCTATGCATAACCAGGGTGGCAGATCAACCCACTTTAAATGACAACGTGACGAAGGCCAGGCAGTTTCGGTGAGCATTTTTCCCCACACAAATACATTTCCCTGAAAGACAGCATTCACTGTATGTCATTGTTGTGGTTTAACTCCAGCAACTACACACCACACAGCCTCTCGCTTGCTCCCTCCACACCCAGTGAGATGGGGGAGAGAATCAGGGGAAAAAAAAAAGTAAAACTCACGGGTTCAGATAAGAACAGTTTAATAGAACAGAAAAGAAGAAAATAATAATGGTAATAATAATAAAAATAAAATACTGATAATAATAAAAGAATTGGAATATACAAAACAAGTGATGCACAATGCAGTTGCTCACCACTTGCTGACCAATGCCCAGTCAGTTCCCGAGCAGCGATCTGCACCCCCCAGCCACCTCCCCCCAGTTTATATACCGGGCATGACATCACATGGTATGGAATATCCCTTTGGCCAGTTTGGGTCAGCTGTCCTGGCTGTGTCCCCTCCCAACTTCTTGTGCCCCTCCAGCTTTCTCGCTGGCTGGGCATGAGAAGCTGAAAAATCCTTGACTTAGTCTAAACACTACTGAACAACAACTGAAAACATCAGTGTGTTATCAACATTCTACTCATCCTAAATCCAAAGCATAACACTATACCAGCGACTAGAAAAAAAAATTATCTCTATCCCAGCTGAAACCAGCACTGTTCATTTTTTATCTTAGACATACCTACAGACTGAGAAGGAAGTAAAGGAATTATTAGTTAGATGTTGTGGGGTCTACACTACAAAGACACAAAGAGGATATCTACGTTTTTCAAATAAATATTTGTAGTAGTCGTGTGTCACAAACCCATTTCGACAATATGAAATAAAATAAAATGGTAAGTAGTTCAACTAGAACCGTTAAACTTCTATTTACAACAGCAAAGTTAAATAAGTGGAGATACCTATGAAGTATTTTCTATTTCTGGAATGAAATATTGTGCAACCTATAATATGACTACCAAGTTTGCACATAACAATAGTGTCATCAAAAAGCAAGCTTTTCATTTCTCAAATGATATGGTTGTTTGTACTCGGTTCACCAAAATACAAGTTGCCGTAACATTTAGATCTTAGATTAACTTGATTTAGTAATTCATTAAGAATGTTAAATCTGCAGATCACAAGATACTCTTATTTTTTCTTACTAATACCAACCTGTAAACTGTGTTTTAATCTTCTAAAAATCCTACTACTAAAGCTATCAGCAAGTAAGCAGATACAGCAGTTTTGAATGTTTGAATGGCTGAAGAGAATCAAAACTTTCTCCAAACAATAATAACTACCAGAACTGAAGCCTACAGTTTTTGTCACAGAAAAGGAAATCCTGTGCTGCTGTCCCCTGACACTGTGTTCTCAATGGTGTCCTTCATCTGGAATTCACATTCTGGAGTCTGAAGAGTTTGCATCACTCTCCTCCAGGACCTGCTGATGCTACTGACTGTATACTTAGTGATAACAGGTAGGTTTAGTGTCACAGAGTGAAAGGGAAAAGCTGGATCACTGAATCTAGTATTCTGCTGTCTCGGGAACCACTTCAGAAATCTACTCTGTAGGTCCTTAAAAGGTATTGAACTCAGACTGCCAGGTTGTTTTGTTTCATAACTCACTCCTAAGAGCCAGAAATTCTCTTTAAATTCTGAGTCTCATTTTATTTAGGACCATTTTCTTCTTGTGACAGCACTATTCTTCATCTTAATTAGCTAACAGTAAGCCTATTAATAAGCAATCTATGTTTTGGTTTTAGTCATTATGCTACAGATTTTTAAACAGTTCACTTTATAAATCTGAAAATAAATAAACAAATCTATTTAAACACGATGCACACCTACCTGTAAGCATTAATGTAATCCTTTCTGTGCTGCAGAAGAAAATCTTTCAGCTTTCCAATATGAGAAATCTAGATGAACAGAAATAATAATTAAACTTCAGTAAGATAACTAATTTTATGTTTAAAGTTCAGTATTCCATGCTTCAAACATGAATTTGTAAAATTATTTATTCTGTCATTAAATAGAATCATAAAATTTATTCTTTTACATTTGAATTTTCACATTTTGCAAGCAGTCAATACATAAAAATAATCTAAAAATATCTCTTGTATGAAAGTACAACTCAGAAAAGAGTAGTAAAAATGTCTTCTATCCAAAAAAGCATAAACTAAACACTACTAAACACTAAATATAACTACAATGTTACACATTAAAAATATTAAACATAATAACAACACAAACCACTATCTAAACTGGCAATCCAGAACCTAATGTATATTTTAGAAAATAAATTCATTTTAGAAGATCACACAAAGTTTTAAACATTTTACTGATGAGATACAATACAAATATTTGAGTTCAGTTATTAGAACTTGTAGAGCAAGGTGCTGTCCCTCTGCTTTCTATTTTTGCCATAAAAGACTGACCAGTTTGCGCCCAAACTAAAGTAGTATCTCTGTCATCTGATAATCATTACAAAGTTTTGCCGGAGCATACCTCCCTAACAAATTTCTATTTCTGGATTTCCACTTCACTGTGGATACATTTTACTATAAATCCACTTGATTTTCTTTATTAAAAGTCTTTACAAAGATCCTTTGAAAAGATGAAAAAATTCCTAAAAGTCTGAAAGAACTTTTGCAATCTTTAGTGTGATATAAAAGATTTAACGTAGCATAAGATGGTGCTCATTTTAGAGAGTGGAGGAATTATAGAAATCTAGTTTAATTGGCCACAGAAATGACATGACTACCAATATGACTTCCTTAGCAGGTCTTGAAGGAGATGTGATGGGGGGATGAGGAGGGGGGAGAACTACATACATTAGTGATATATATTTTCAAGGGGAGGCAGGGGGAACCTTTCTAAAGCATGTTCTCAAACATTCATTAATAATTCAGTGTAAAAAAGCATGCAAGGAATTTTACAAAACAATAGTTATTTTAGTTCACAAATACAATAAATGTGGTTTACTCCATGTATCTGGGAAAAAGCATCAGAAGCTGTTCAAGTCTTAAAATCCTATTTTCATGCAAATGTTCCTTGTAATTAAACAAACAAAAAAAACCACAGAGAAAGAACACAGAATAGTTTGGATAAATAGAAGATTAATTCCCCCAATTTTTTTTTCAAAAGATCAGCAGCTTTTCAAAAAAAGATGAAAAAAATTTACTTAGTAAGACTACAGTGATTTGTACAACTAGAAAGAAGTGTTTCCTTGTGCAAATACGCATATATTTCCTTATTATTTTTTTTTCCTGTTTCATTTTTACTACAACTCATCATATTGGATAAGAATTTTCCCAGTTTTAATGTTTAAAGTTTTCCATGCGATTAACAGCACAGGAAATGTAATCCCATTCATAGCAAACTGAGTTCTGTTAGTACCTCCAGCAGATCTGAAGTTTCGTGAAGCGTGTTAGCGCTGTCATACACAGTAAGGAGGGAAATGCTGAAATCACTACACGATCAATAAAGCACAAAGAGTAAGCTAAACCATGCCACAGATGTTCCTTCCCATTGCCACTGGAACTTATTTTCTGTATAGTAATCTCTTTCTTAGCTCAGACTTGGTACGTCATGAAATTTGCTGAATAGGTAAATTAAGCTTGACTATGAAAGCAAAACATTTAAAACAGTCATACACTGTTTCAGTAGAACAATAATACTTAATAGGCAGAAAGAATACTACAGATGACAAAGACTAGAAATGTAAAATAAGAAACACATTTCAAAACATTTATATTAATATGTGAACAAACACTAAACTAAGAAAATTTTGCTAATCTATTTTCAAGTAATAAATCTTAATATTACTGCAATAGCTACAATTTAGGAGTGATTAACAAGCAGAAAGAATCAGAATGACAAGCAAGAACACTGTCTTACAGTAATTAATTCATCTAGTCACAAAGAGCATTCTATTTAGGCTAAAATTGTCATCGTGTGTTTGAATTGCACTGACCCCACTTTGCCTCTCCTTCATTTGTAAAGCTATTTTCATGAATTTAGAATGACACCATTATGCCCATACTTGCATCAAGCTCTTAGTTCCCAAGATTTGCATCAGAAGTGAGACTACTTGTTCTGCTTTCCCTCAAATTCTAACAGCACCTTCTACGATCCTGCACTGCTGCTGTTTCTCTTTTGCTTTTTCTTACCATGTACTACTGATATAGTTTCGAATTCAATGTGTCATTAGCGTACCAACAAAATCAAACAATTTTTACAAAAAAGGTCTCATTAGCATTAAAGGGAATGTGAATTTTATTTAAAAAAAAAATTAATCTTAAGCTTAATCTTCTGCAGACACAAAATATCCCTGATTATACAAATACAAATCTTGAAGGTATCTCAAGGGTCATCAACCTGCAGTTAATCTGGGGTTATCAGAGGCGCACCATACAGTCTTTACAAAGTTATCAAGCTCCAACCTAAAAGTAATAAAGCATCTCCCTATTCCAACTGAATGGCTTTATTAGAATCCTACTGCTCTCATTATGAATGAGAACTGACAAATTTCCAGGTTTACTGATTACCAACTTCTATCCATCTGTTCTTGCTTCAAAACAGTCCTTTCCCTTAAAAGCTCTGCTTCCCTGCAGAAATGTCTGAGTTTACCGTCAATAATCCTATCTCCCTCTAACTTCTGTAGCCCCAGACAAATGACCCCAAGCTTCTTCTCACAATGTAGTTATGAAGTTGCCTAACCCATAACTTTCCTCTGCACTTGCTCCAGTTCACATCCCTCCTCTTCCAATTCAGATGACTAAAAGGGCATTCACTGGTGTTGGTTACTTTGCAACTCAGCTGGAAATACCTTTTCTTCCACCATTTTCATTGATTAGTTTCAAGCTTATTCTTTGTTTCAGTCTCTAAATACATATTCTTCTGCTGAATTTCTTTCTTCTCCCCACAACTCCAGACCCCAGAGCCATTCAGCATTTGCTGTAACATATCATGCTCCTCCCTCTCCTTCCTCTCAGCATTCCCTCATCAGTAAATTTTACTGATCCATCTTACTCTGGAATTGATTTTAAAACTCATCTTCTTTAGTACTGTTCTTCTTTTGGGGAATACAAAAAGTAATTCTGCTATCAATCCATCTTCAGCCCAACTCTTCCTTCAACACAGAAGAATTGCTTCTGCTTATTCATCTTATTCAGTTAATATTTTCTCTGCTAATCTCCTCCAGACTTCCTATTAGCACTTCATCAGACACTTTACCATCAGACACGAGGTCATCTTAACGAAGGAAAAGCAGATTTTCTTAAAGCATCAAGTTGGTTGGGCACATCCTATTTTTAGTACGATAGCAAGTTATACTGCATTGTATCTTGCTTTCTATTTATCTTTTTCCCCTCAAAATCTTTTCTGAATTCTGGACCACTTCTGGATCAGACCCTGCTGATGCCATTATCAGTTTCCCTCTGCTGACTTAATTATAGGCATTAAATTTGCCTCACTCTAATCAAATGGTACCATCTTCAATTCAATGTATTTTCATTAAAAATAACTGCCTTCAGAACCTGGGATTTCTCAAATCCACCGTGTCTGAACTCAATGCAGAGATTATCTGATAACCACAATTTGACTGCATTAAAGTCCCAAGATTTTGTACAGATTTCTAATTCCATGCTCTGATTCCCAGTACATATCTTGCCTTTACCCTCCTGGTCCATGGCTTTTTCCTTATTAATTTAGTCTGGAGACCATGCCTAAACTATTCTCAATCTGTACTCCAGCTACACAACTAATCCACTTTTTTGCTAATTCTCTTTTTATTTACACAGCTAAAGAATATCTTAACTTTGGGGGATTTAAAGTTAACTTAAATAGTTAAGTTAACTCTATGTGAATTTTGCCAAACCTGACTTTATCTCTACAAAGTCTTCCCTTCTGCAACAATTTTCTTGGCCAGTCAGTGCCTCTCTCCCTCCCCTGCTTTTTACTGCCTCTGGGCTAATTTTTTGTATCTTCTCTAATTAAGCTTTCAAGTGGACCTAGAACAATTTTAAATTCCACTTGCATTTCAGCATATCCATTTTTTCCACTCCATTTACCCATCCGTAACTGCAACTTTCTATTTGCTGTATATGCCTGTTTTCAAAACAATTATACCACCAGTTGACACAGCTGTCAAAAGGATAGATGAAAGCAATTTGAAGACAAAGCACAAACACACCTGAACATTGGCCTCTCGTCATAGTTCCCATTCTTTGCCTCTGGAAATTAGCCTCCTTCTTCTCTGAAAGTCTGGAGCAGAAATATAAACCTCTCCTTCAACCCTGAAATAATAAAATTATTTCCTTTTCTCCCTGAAAGGATAGGAGGGCTTAGAGAAATGCCCTTCATAGTTGCAGCACTCTTGCACTGCATTAAGACTAAACTTCTCTTATGGGGAAGAACGCTACTGAATTTCCAGATATAAGTGACATTTTTATGAGAATCATGGGAGAAAAATATGTTTCCTCTCAATATTGCCATCATCAGTTATACCATTATACTAACAGCATGTTCCTGAGCTTCTGTTCACTACCAGAATACGGAGGCTTACGTTCTTCCTGACAATGAAGACCGCTTACGGCTCTCCCTCTTCTCTTCCCATTCCCACCGTCACTCCCTTAAGGGTCAATACCACACACCAGAAACTGAAATTACTTTTTTTCAATTACTCTTCTGGAAATGGGGGTTAATAATACAAAAGACCAAATATAAAGAATCTGTTTCTTTCATTTCAACTCCACAGATACCTTTATCAGCACAAGGGAGAGCAGAAGCTGGATAGCACTAGTAGGGAACGTGCTAAAAGACGCATCTGCTGTGAAAGGAGGTATATTTAATTACAACTTAAGAAACTTAACATGATAACCTCCTAAGCTCAAGTATCAAAGCTGGAGACTCCAGG